GTTTGATGTCCGGGAGGAGGACGTCCTGATATTTAGTGAGAGGGTGGGCGAGGCACAGAGGGAAGCGGCGAAGCAAGTGAGGGAGGAAAAGGAAAAGAAGGGTGGACGGAGAGAAGGTAGGAGCGGGGGTGTAGGGGGCAAAGGAAAGGGGAAGAGGAGAAGGGACGATATGGATCGGGAGGAGGAATAGGGCAAAGAAGGATACCCCCCCCCCTTCCCACTACCACTAGAGTGCGGCACTGTAGATACAACAATAATGCGAGGTTTCTGAGAACTTTCCTGCTTATTTTGAGCCCTTGGTCATTGTTCGCGAACAATATGACTTGTTTACGGCCCCTTGCGCAACCAGGACCCAGAATCGGCAACCCAGTTCATGCAGTAGGATTTGCTGACCCTTCAATGCCTCTTATGTATGCATTGCATCGTCATGATCCACTCTGGAGATCTGCCAGCGTTGTGACCGCGCTGGAGCCTAGTCACGTGATCAACCATTTGAACCAGTCGGGCCGGGCCTCAGCCCTAGAAGGAGGAGAGCAAGCAGGGATACCGGCACATCACCGCATCTGATTGGACGGAGGTTTCTGCTGAGCAAGATGCACACCCGATAAGAACAACTGAAGAGTCGGTGGGGGCAGATCGCGTGCGTTTGGAGAGACCGACTCGCGAACTCGAGTATGATACGGCACAGAGCAGGCATGATACAGGCACGCAGAAAGCACTGTAGAACACGATTATTAAGAGAGACTCCCCATTTTGTCGGACCAATGCTATATGCGCGAACATTGCCCGTAGCGAGGGGAGCGTATTGTTTGGCTGAACCTTCGGCGTGAGAGAGGAGTGGGGTTGGGCAGGCTGCAGTATTGAGGCTCTGATGTGATAGTGGTAATACCGGTATGGAGAGAGCAGGAGACGGGGGAGGTCTCTATTCCTGTATTACACATACCGGGTATATAAAGGATGGTGACTGAACTTGGGTTCCGCAGCTGCTCGAGCAGATCCCACCGAATCCTGTGGATTGATGATCGACTATCCCTTACAGAGCTTCAAATCTACAGATATTTTGGTGAATCCTATGCTGCCTTGTATGCTATTATACAACCTGTGAGCCGTTCCGAGCGCCCCCCCGTCATATTCCCAGTTCCTCAGTTTTGCAACATACCCTCCAACCGAATACGCCGCTGCACACCTCCTCCTCCCCCGACAGGACCCCCCCCCTCAGAACCCTGTCTCTCCTACCACCGCGCCGGGTGGTCGTGTCAGTTTCCCTGCCTTGTGGGTTCCGTGCACTCTCTCAACTCGTCACCTCTCCTTCCCCGTCTCCTTCCCCCTCTAACTCCTTCTTTTCTCTCAACAACAACGGAAGGTTGTCTGTCCTCAACCTCCTTCCCCCTCAGCTCCCAATAATCCACCGGAGCTTACTGTTGTCTCTCTCCCTTCAGAGACAACCCCGCTCGGTCCACCCCTCATTCCGCTGCTCAACCTCGACGCAACATCCTCTCTCGCTAGCGAAAAGGGTAAAATAAAAATTACCCGACAGTGTCAACATAACGATCTCAAATTTGATCCGAATACCACCTTGCAATGGCCGATCCCAATGCATCAGCGGTGGCTATGGAGAATAGCAGAAAGCAGGAGAATGCTATTCGTGCTGTGATTGATAAGAAACCGCCACCCGAGATTGATTTCACTCTGCATACCATGGAGGATGGGACTCAAGTTTCAACACTTGAGCGGGTTTGCAAGGGTATGTTCTGCGAGTTTGGTCTTTTCGTTTCGAACCCTTTCATCGTTGTGAATCCTCCCATCCCCCGTCCCCCTCGGCTCATCATTCGCCCCTCCTTATGATGGGTGTTCCTGGCCACCGGGATGTTGCATGAAGAGTTTATTTCATCTTCTTAGCTTGGAGGTCTTTGATGGGGGAATACCCGTTTTACGTCCATTTGACTTTTGTCATTTCCTGACGGGATTGCGGGATTGGGTCAATTTCGTGTTGCTTGGAAACCTTTATTTGTTTCTGCTTTTTACTTTTTTGTTGCTGCAAATTTAGTTAATCATTTCCCCTTCTCTGAGATAGATGTGCAGGCACCCGCATTCCACAAGCCTACGGATGAGCAGTTTTACGACTCTACTGATCCTACAAAGCCGGATCTCGTTTTCTTGAAGCAGCACTTTTACCGCGAGGGTCGTCTTACTGAAGAGCAGGCTATCTTCATTATTCACCGTGGTACTGAAATTCTCAAGACCGAACCTAATCTCCTGGAGATGGACGCGCCGATAACTGTGTGCGGCGACGTTCACGGGCAATATTACGACTTGATGAAATTATTTGAAGTTGGTGGGAATCCGGAGGAGACTAGATATCTGTTTTTGGGGGATTATGTCGATAGAGGGTACTTCAGTATCGAGGTATGTTGCTTCTTTATTCCAGATCATTCTGAAGCAGAGCGCTGTGTCATTTCGAGTTTTGTCTCACTTTGGATGAAAAACAGTGCGTTTTGTATCTTTGGGCGCTGAAGATCTGGTATCCCAATACCCTGTGGCTTTTGAGGGGCAATCACGAGTGCAGGCATTTGACAGATTATTTTACCTTCAAGTTGGAATGTGGGACAATTTCTTAACCTAAATTGCTACACCGGGTTTAGCTAACGGGAATTTCTAGGTAAACACAAGTATTCTGAACGTGTATATGAAGCTTGTATGGACAGTTTCTGTGCATTACCGCTGGCAGCAGTTATGAACAAGCAATTTTTGTGTATCCACGGCGGATTGAGTCCTGAGCTCCAGACCTTGGATGATCTGCGAAGTGTATGGCATAGCTTGTTTCTTATATCTGCGGTAAGGTGGGACTGACTGTGATATAGATTGATCGTTTCCGCGAGCCCCCCACTCACGGTTTGATGTGCGATATTCTTTGGGCCGACCCTCTAGAAGAATTTGGACAAGAGAGAACTTCTGATTTCTTCATCCACAATCATGTTCGTGGTTGCTCCTACTTTTTCTCATACCCGGCTGCTTGCTCGTTCCTCGAAAAGAACAACTTGCTCTCGGTCATCCGTGCGCATGAGGCGCAGGACGCAGGCTACAGGATGTATAGGAAGACCAAGACAACTGGATTTCCTAGTGTCATGACCATCTTCTCTGCGCCTAATTATCTTGATGTGTACAACAACAAGGCGGCTGTTCTGAAATATGAGAACAATGTCATGAATATCAGGCAATTTAGTGCGTTTGATCTATCTACCGTATTTATTTTGTAATGCCACCGGGGCTTGAAGTACTAATAATGCCGCTGCAGATTGCACGCCCCATCCTTATTGGTTGCCTAACTTTATGGACGTTTTTACCTGGTCACTTCCCTTCGTTGGTGAAAAGAGTAAGTTCTCATGCCCGGACAGTCCAATCAGGTGCTAATCGCAATCCCCGACCCTAGTTACCGATATGCTCATTGCCATTCTCAATACTTGCTCTAAGGAGGAACTGAACGAGGATACGCCTCTTTCCCCTTCATCCGCCGATCCGCTGTCCCCTCCTCCGGAGCCCGAGACGGACCCTAATAGCCCAGATGCCAAGCGTCGTGCTATTAAAAATAAGATTCTCGCTATCGGACGTCTGTCTCGTGTCTTCCAAGTTTTGCGTGAAGAATCTGAGCGTGTGACTGAGCTCAAGACCGCCACTGGTGGCAGACTTCCGGCTGGAACGCTCATGCTTGGAGCAGAGGGTATTAAGGATGCTATCACCTCCTTTGAGGAAGCAAGGAGGGTTGACCTCCAAAACGAGAGATTGCCCCCGAGCCATGAGGAAGTGGAGAAGATGGGCAAGGAGGCCAAGGAGGAGGCAATGACCCGTGCTGTGAGGGAGGCGGACAACGACAGGGAGTTGAACAGAGTGGCAAGGAGGATCAGTATGTAAGTTTGAAAGCATCTTCAAGCGGAGGCAACTAGCGCCAGCCTTTTTTTTTCCATCATTGACGGTGGGTGGAAATAAGGCTAACATCCACTCGAGGACAGAGGCTAGGACAGGGGGGAGCGGAAGTTCCAGCAAAAAGTGATTAACCTAATTTACCAGAATGATGGAGGAGGGGGCGAAAAGAGGCATTTTTTCCTTGGCTAGAATTCTATGAATGATGGGCGGGGCTGGGAGGCTTTTCTTCTGTTTTCTTTTCACTTGTGTTTGGGTCGCCTTTGGTAATAGCCTTTCGTGTGGACCAATGCTGACATAAAATGCCAACTATATATCCACCCCATATTTTATATTCCCCTTTCTCCTTCTTCCTATCCCTTTACACAGCCCCCTCATTTCAATCTCCGCTTGTATAATCAACGAGAACAAAAAATCGTAATTCCCGCTGCCATAAACCAATTATCCTCTTGTTGTCATATCCACTTCCAATAGCTGTATTTTTTATATATACCTTGGCTTGGCTGAACGAATAGCGGTTTGTGATGTGATATGATTAACGATATTCCTAGTGTGGGTTTTTCTTTTTCTACCTTGATTTCTAGAGTGACTTTTGATTTAATAGGCGTGAGATGTGTGTATTCGTTGCGCAGTATCATGCATACTGGAGGTATTTGTGGGGGATTCTTTATTGATTTATTGCACTCAAGTTTGTTGAGAGGTTTGTTCGAGCACTGTATCTGAGTCTTGGAGTAAGTGCAGCACCGGTTGGGATAGGGAGGGTGAAGGGTTTGCTGCCTGCACCAAGTTCTGTAATGCCCTGAGCAAGGCTTCACTAGTCTGACCTTGTTGCAGCATAATTTGCCGCGAAATAAGCGCAGTTCGAACGACGACCGTCGTAGCAAAACCTCACTAATGACCGGTATTAGTGGCTCACGATGCATATCGCGGCATCAGCATACTCTGGTGACGAAACAAAGACCACCTCTCGCACGCCATATAAGGGGCAAGAGAAAAAAAATGAATCCAAGACCAGCATAGAGATCTGGATTACCCTGGGACAGGAATTTCAAACGGTTGGTGCAAAACAAGGGGAAAGAAAAAGGTCTTGCTGGGAGTCGAACCCAGATTGCGGGAATCAAAATCCCGAGTGCTGACCATTACACTACAAAACCAGTGATCATTGATGGTCATCCGTGTTTGTAGGATTTATTTTCGAGTGATAGTCCTGAGTCCTGAGAAGGGTAGGTCACATCCACAGGTGACCGGGCCGGAGGAGGAGGAGGAGGAGGAGGAGAAGGAGGGAGATTGGATAGGAGAGAACGGGAAAGAAAGAGATCTGAAAATATTTAGGATACGGGGGGGAGTTCATTTCTATAGATAATAATATTATTGGAGTACTCAAGGGAGGAGCACAGAAATCTTAGTCGGCAGTATTGGCAACCAAGTCTGTGCTCCACACCAATACCATGAAATTTTTAGAGTACATTGTGGTTATAACTGGTATCATAATAAGTGAAAGAAAGGTTGAGGCTATTATGGAATAGAAACAACCTATCTTAGTAAAAGATATTTAGACCCTTATGGGTTTTACAAATTTTTACCAAAGGTTTGCAAAAACTTCGCAGCTATATGTAAGCCTATAACTGAGTCATTGAAAGGAGACCCAAAAGGTTTTAATTAGAAGATGGAACAGGAAAAGCCTTTCCAATACCTCCAGGAACAGTTTATTATGGTATCTATATTGTACCATTTTTACACCAAACATGAAACAGTACTGTAAACAGGTGCTAGTAATTTTTGTGCCAGGGTGCTTGTTCTTACAGTATATTGAGAAAAAACTATACCCTCTGGTATTGCACTTCTACAAACTCAACTCTACTAAATAAAAGCTATAATATTCATGGTAAGGAATTAATGACAATAGTAGAAGCATTTTAGAAATAGCAGAAATTATCTTACTGGAGCTATAGAAGCTATAACGATATTTATAGACCATTTGTATTTGTAGTATTTTCTTACAGCTAAGACCTAGAATGTACAGAATATTAGATGGATATAGAGGTTAGTGGATTTTGACTACAATAAAGTTTATACATCTGAGACAAGTGGTGGTAAGTTTAGTATATTAAGTAGATAGTTAGAGTACTATCGTGAGAAGGGAGATATGGAGAGCAAGAAGATCTCAATACTAATTCCTATACCCTTTAGGTTAGTCATGTTATTATAGCAGTAGTACAAAGATACAAGCTTAACCCACAACCAAGAAATAGAATCCTAATATACACATGTATTATGAAACTAAATACAAGAGTTCAAATCACTGGGAGAAGATCTGATACCTTAGTTGGTAATGATCTACTTGAGATAAAAGATATAATTATATCAGCCAAAGGGTAGGTAATAATAAGTATGAGAATAGTAATAGTACTATAAAGTTATCGGATATCAAAGCATAAAATAATAATCAGGACAGAAGTTATAGAGATAGACTACTGTGGAAGGGTGTTATAGATAGTGGCTAAGCAAGGCTATAGCATGTTGGTAGGAATTGGTTGAGATATTGAGAGGTTTTGTACCAGGACTTAGATTAGAGTTATGGGGTCTCTTATGGCTCCCAGTTGTGAGTTGTTGATATGTTATGATTGGTTGATGCACCTGGGTGACTCACAGTTATAAGTAAGATGATATTATAACTTTCGTACATGATTGAGGTTGTAGGTTATGGGTTTCATACATGTGATATGACTCGTATAAATTACTAAAGTATGAGCAGAAGGGGTGATTCATGGTAAGGAGTCAAAGAGTTAGGGTTTGGTGAAGAGCAAGTATAAAGAAGGTCAATAGGGTACAAGAGGGTAATCTCTTCATGCAATCATCTTTGTATCTTCTTACCTATAACTTTACGCCTTTACTATTAGCCTAACTGGCTATATTATATGAATACTCTTGTGAGTGAGTTATTGGATAAGCACCTCGAGTGCTTGACTATCAATAGAGTGACTAGAGAAACTAATATTATGGAAGATTGAGACTAAGGTATTATTACCCATACCTGAAGAGTACTAATAGATAGAGAACATTACATTTAGTACCATCTATATAAACAGATCTGATGTTACAAAATAATAGTAGGTAATGACAGGCACCCAATATCAAGGCAAAATAGATAGCTATAATAGAGACAAAATCGATAACCATCTCGAACTCCCAGGATGAAAAGAAGCACTTAGTTGCATTAGACTTTCACAAGAGGAGGGTCAACTAGCAAGCATAGTCACTATGTAGCAACAACATTAAGAAACAACTGCTTTGCCTGGCAAAGAGTATGATCTAAGAATGTTGGAAACAGCAGAAGTGGCCCTAATGTACTCTTTAGTGAGAATGTTATTTGCCCAACTCATAGTACTACTAGCGATGTACCAAGATAATAGACCTGGTTTGGTGGGGATGGGCAAAAAGCAAGGGAACCTTGCAGGTTCGTGCAGGAGAGAAAGAAACTACAAGAAGTCTGCTTGCAGTGTGAATAATATTTTCATATTAAGAGCAACAGGGAGGATTGTGATAGGAGTAAGATTGCATATGCGGAGCTCATGTTCTAGGATGCAGTGGGTAAATAGACAATCTGCTATGACAAAGAAATCAGGAAAAGAGAATAGGAGACCTGGGATAGCGGCAAGGAAGTACCCAAAGAATAGTTCAGGGATGTCAATACTAAATAAGTAGTATGGATCAAATTGGAACCTATGTTACTAGGAAAAACAAAGGAGATTGATCTCTGGAATAAGGGTTTTAGTATGTCGCAGTCTAAGCAGAATGTGATAATGCCACCCTGTGGCATGACACATTAAGAGCATGCAACTGCCAGTTGCAAGATGCATGAAGCAAAGTGGAAACCAAGTTTATAACTATGGCAAGCTTTGCAGTTTGTAGAAGTGAAAGGGATTGACAATTAGATATAGTTAAACACATAGAAGAAGGAAGAATGACAACCAGATACAAACTCATAACTCAGAACTGAGACAGTATAATTAGACTTGTACTACTCACCACTATTGAGAGAGGTAATACCAGGGATCTAGACACAACTTGAAGAAGACCAAATCTCAACTTGTCTTAATAAGAATACCAAAGAAGAATGACAGTGTAACAGGGGCACCCCTAGGAAGATGGATTCCAAGGTTGCGACCGCACCGAAAAACTTCAAACTTATGGCCAGAAGTTCACACGAATGTAAGAGTAAAGTAAACGGTAAAACTTACTATCGTTAAGCCTGACACTGCACTCAATTAAGGTCTTGGGGATATTGATTGTTGGAGTAGGAGAGTTCTCGCATAGACTTTTCTGGTAGTTTTATCTTATGCTAGAAACTCCCCCATCAGTTTACTCCAACTGTTCGAGCACACCCTTCTCCATTAAGGGTGGTCCGACATGTCTCCTGGCATCCCCTTTGGGCATGAATGTGTCGACATACTCTAGTCGGCGTTCACCTTATGCGGTTATGATTTCTGCGGCGCATTTCCATTTTGCCTGCCCGAGTGAAAACTTCTACGTACCGGCGTCATACCAGTGGCTAACAGTCAAGACGCTTCATGAACTAGACTATCTACGACACCCTTCCCATATGCATTGTTCTCTATGTGGCCCCAGAAGTTACTGTGAGCGGTTTATCTATTTACTATTTACGGTTCTTGGGCTTCCTGAGTCTTCTGCAGGATACAGTGATCCGTGAGGGGTCCACTGGGCGCTACCCATGACTGCTAACTCGGATCCACCTTACCTGTGGTAGGAATCATGCTGTCAGTGTCTCTGCACTTCCCTTTCACAGCCTATGGTGTTGGGGACACTTCCGGGCTTGGTAGGTGTAAAACTCTCCCTGCTGCACCGGCACCACCCAGGACTACCTTTGGGACCCCAACGGTTAATTCCTGTTAACTCTGCCATTTTTGGTCCGATTTACTCAGAACAACAGGGAGGAGGTACTCCACCTTCCACCCTATAGCCTCTTCTATATCCTGCGAACAGCTTAAGGGCGACCATATGGCAGTGACGCATATGGTGTTGCAAGCAGGTCTCCAAAGATTCCTCTTTGCTAGACTGCACACAACTACACACCCAGTTGCCCATGATGTCCGGGCCGCAAGGCGGGGCCGCCGGGGTATGATAGTAATAATGTCTCCAATTCACAGCTTCCTCGGAGCTCTCTAGCTCGCCCAATAGCATCTCCCAGAACCCCAGATTGCAGTATTGTGCATGACTTCGCATGACAAACATTCCGCTCATTTTTCCCGCACTCCGCAATGGACTTTCTATTGAAAGTTAGGGTAACCTGTTCCTGAAGGTAGGGTAACCTTGTCTGGCAGACAAGATAACCTTTCCCTGTTACCCTGTCTATCCTGTTGCCGGAGGTAGACACTTCTGACCTTTCTCCAGTTACCAGGTCTAGCTGAGTAACTGCCTTTTCAGAGGTCCCTAAGTACGCTGACACCGCTTCCCAGGTCTACCCAGGTACCCAAACACCTGGCCAGTCACTTCTGTTCATCTAGGAGCACGGACCATTGGGTCTCCGTAGGTCAAGTACTTACTTGCCTGCCGGTTCCTACCAGTTCACCTCCTGGCTACCTGTATGGGCATATATTCCGACTGCCATAGCTCTTGTATGCTGGGTCGTTACAGATAGGGAGACTATGCCTGGAGTGCAGGAAAAGTGGCCATATGCTACACAGCTGCAGGCTGCCTAGGGATAGTTGCAATGAAGCACTACCTGGTAGGGCTGGCCCTGCAAGACTGGGCCAAATTGCTCTCACTAGGATCAGATTACATGATATGAACCTTGAGGTAAAGAATGATGAAGGGGAAATAAAGACTGTCACCAACAATAGGTACTCTGAACGACAGGCCATGACAGAAATCCACCACACTGGCAAACTACTATGTGGCACCACAAATAAAAGTACGGGAAGCAGAAGGCAATTATTAGAATGGGAGGACCTCTAGAAAGAGGGATCCCAAGGTTGTGACCATTCCGAACAACTTCAAACTTATCGCCAACACTTCACCCACAATGCAAGAGTAAAGTAAATGGTGAAACTTAATATTGTTAAGCCTGATGCTGCACTCAATTAAGGTCTCCAGAGGATTGAGTGTTGGAGTAGGAGAGTTCTCACATAGATTT